AAACTAAGAGGTGAGGGGTACGGGGTTATTTTACTTAGAATTATTATGTCATGATCTCAAAATAACTACAACGTCATCAGTCTAAAAATAGCTGTGATTCATCGAGTGGTGACTCATTGATCTAAAAATAGCAATCACAGTAGGGGATTCACATAATTTTCAATGTGGGATTCCCCAAAGTGACGCATGCGTAGACAAATTCAATGCATGACATCATGATCCAAAAATAGCACACAATTCTCAGAATTTTGAGTGGGGGATTCCCGGAATCCAGGAGTGGGATCCGGATTCCTGGAACCAGGATCCAGGAGTGGGGGTCTAAATTCCCGGAAATGGCGCATGCGCAGATGAAGTGAATTAGAATCGGCACAGCTTAACTACTCTCATCTAATTAATAGACCCGGTTTTCTCTGAAATTAATAAACCGCACTCAGTTTTGATCCTTTCATTAGTTTTTAATGATGTAGAAAAGGGAACAAGGAGTTCTTGCAAATACCTTACTTTAGATTTTATTTAAAAACTAGAAATATTCAAATTTCGTGTTATTTATCTAGAGAAAAGTATCACAACCAGTGCTTTTTTTGTTACTCTTCCAACGTTTATATGTATATATTTTTAGTGTATCAGGTCCTCATTCTTTTCTTTTTATCCTGCTACTTATCTTGTTTCAACACCACGTATACAGTAATATTTTTTCAATTGTGTCTCTAGAATCAATATTTAAGCACTTCAATTTCTTTTATTGTTATGGTAATAAAATATTTTCATTCTTATTTCTGATGTTTTTTTAATTAACCTTGTACAACTATTCACTAACAAGTTCTTCCAAAAGTCTACAATTTTTATTTTCTCAAAAGTACCTCATGGAATATGAATTACTTGTCATTTTTTCCTTATTTATACAAAGCTTTCAATTTGTTAGACAAACTGTTGGAACTTTGCAACCATTAAATGCATGCTGATAGATTTAAAGGTTGAGTTTACCGTTTTAGAATTCATTATGATGTGCATCGAAATCCTTTGTACAATGTAACAATATTAAAACTACCAAATAGGCATTATCACACTCTCTAATTTAATTATTGTAGTCTACGACAAAGCAATATTGCTGCAGCTATCCTCCGATCCAGATTCATTCGTTGTCTCTTCATATATTAAAAAAAAAGTTAAATGGTGATGTAATTTTTGCTTTAATTGACAGCACAGAAATAATGAAGCGTAAAATTCCTTACTTGAAGTATTAATCACGATTAAATGCACATATGTTATGTTAGCGAGAATTTCAAATCTGATATCACACAATAATTTAAAATTTTACACTTCATTACATTTACCGTTCAACATATCTATTGAGTGCACTTTGTATAATCTGATCGAATTTCATTTGGGAACTTTTTTGTTGCTTGGTAAAGTTATTAACTCAAGTTATAAAGTGCTTTAGCCGCCTCCGTCAGTCTGGACAGCTCATTAAATAATTAACTCAGATTACTTGAAACAGAAACTTATCGATTACTTTATGGGGTCACCATCAAGATAATTATGACAGCACTATACACTTACAGTGACAGCCAGCAAAAATGTTTTCTACTTGTTATAATTTTGTTCTGCAACCAACCAATGGACATTCTTAAAGTAACATTTATGATTGTATAGGACATTTTTCTCTGGGGCGCGAGTTCTGACACACCCTGTATAAAACAAAATCAATGGCGTTATACTCTTGAGTGTCATAGTCACACACAGAACTAATGATGATTTGTTCTTGATTTGGACTTATATGGAGCGGTCCTAGGTTGCAGTTTACTGACAATGTCCCGATTGTGTTATGAGTGGTGACAAAAGGGTGCTTTTTGCTTTGTTTGAGTGAGTCTAGATATTTGTCGAACAGTTGTATTTAATACAAAAACAGCGACTACCTAAGCTCTGTAGTCCCAGCATTGAGCATTTCGTGTTTAATGACGCGAGACAATGACATAGTCTTCGTTTATTAAGAACCGTAACACCGCTTGTTCGAGGGGGGTTAGTGAATAGCTACGAGTGTCTTAATCCGCCAGTAAATTGAGTCTCGGTTAAGTTCCGGCTAGCGACTCGAACAGAGTGTATGTGCGGCTCATGGAACTGTATTGTACACACGTCTGGCAGCTCAATTTGAGCGCGCACTGGCCCATAAATGTCAGATATAAACGCCGAACAGGTTTATGTCGTATTAAAAAGAGCCGCTGAAGAAGGTTGGAGCTGCGCTGATTGCGGACTCTTCTTGCTAATCTCGTGCAACATATGCGCCACCAACTACAAAATGGGAAGTTAAGGAGCTTAGTTATCGCTCTAAGTCCACTTATCTGCATGACCTCTGTAGCGTGAGCCACTGAATAACATCAAATTAGTCAAACGGAGAATGCGGGGTGCTATCAGCTGCCTCCATGCTCAATGCGCCGCCTCAGAAATTGGGCCGTGTCGGTTGCAGGCTGCAGGCACACCACTAACAAAACACACATCTATTGTTCACTTCACATTGCACCACGAGCCTATTGTATCATTAGCAAATAACATTTCTTCATCTTAAATTGTGTTAGACGAAACGTTTTCAATTCACTCGACTCCATCAATTTTGCACTTAAATAAAAACAAATACTTCTACTATCTCCATAGATCTGTACGCGGATGAGGTATTGAGATATACGCGATATTTTCATTCCGATTACAGCAAACCAGGTCTTGGTTTACAGATTACATCAAGTAGAATCGTTGAAAGTACAAAACGAACAAAATTTGATTTCAATATTGTATGGAAGGAACTCCAATGCAGAGATTTGCTCTTTAGTGTATGAAAATTTTATCTCTAGTAATAGTCGTCGAACATTCTGCCCCCCAAAAGACAATGAAAAAACGGCGCCCATGCTGGGGAGTGTACAGAATGCGATCGGCCGCCATGACTGTGGCTCTGCGTTAAAGTCCCGGCTAATCCCGGATTAGCAATGTTGGAGTAGCTGCAATACTAATTTGTTGATTCTGCTACGGCGACAGTGAATTATTATTGGGAGCGCTCACATGTGCTACTAGACAGCATACCATGCTGAACGCGTTGAATGTATTGTGGACGGCAACTCGTAAACTTTCAACCCCTACCCTTACACTGGCACCCAAATCGTATACAGCCATTGATCAACGATGTCCTAAATCTAAACTGCACCTATCCACATTCTTAGGTTTGGAAATAAACAAAAAACCATCAGACTGACGCAGGCTCCGAGGGATATTTTAGGAATTTAATATTATCTAACATAACATGTTCTTGCCAATACAAATTTCTCGCTTATATTTCTACATAATAAAGTAATTATTATAAAGATCTCAGTACACCAATAAATTTTCAAAAATACCATCAAAAATACTAGGAAAAATTATTATTAAATACATGTATTTAAAAGTGCTATTGCTAAATTATGCAAATTACTAAATCCAGACTTGATCCCAGGATTGCTGGAACAAGGGGTTAATTCGTCCAACTTAAGAATTATACAAATAGGTTCTTGTTTTCTGCTTGCTTCTAAACTCACTTTTGATTTAAATATTTTTTGCGTCATCATACATGCTGCTGTATAATTTGACGAAACATAGAACTTACTGCGCCGAAACTTCACCCATAATAAAGTTTGAGTTCTATTTAGAGCAAAACTTATCACTTTATAACTTTGGCAGTTTAACTATTTTAATGTCGACCAAATGATTGGGGAATGGGAATAGAATGATTCTTTGTTTTGACCATTACATCGCGTCAAGGACTTTATTTTGTCATAATTTAAAAACTTAGACATTTACGATGATATTAGACTTAAAATTTTTAGGTGCATTTTTATGTTACAAAGGATCGAATCTTTATTCAAATTTAATTTTAAATGACATACGGGAGATGATTTGTATTGTTTGGGTAACGGTAACAAAGTATGATTAAGGGTTATATGGTTTGTGAAGGGTTATTTCCAGGAAAGGCTTCAATTAATTTTAGTTATGGAAGCGTATATAGAGTTTAGTTGTATTAAAACGGTATAGAATTTTGAAATTCGTATGTGTGGTTGCTGACCTGGCCTTCTCTCAGTTCTACTCACGCGCGAGGCTGACACTGTATCCAAATTCATTGCAGATTTTCAGCTTGTCGGCTCTAGAGAATGGAAGGCTTGAGTGCTGCGCCATTCGCTGGGAATGATGATAGAGTTAAAGAAATAATAGGGATTTGCCTCTTCGTCCAATTCTGAAATCAATATAGATTTAAAACTAAACGTGCATTTCTTTTGGAAAAATTGCTATCGGTGGCTGCAACGTAATTATTTGTACAAGTTGTTTCTGCGACGTTCTTTTATCAGCGGACAATGAGACAGTGGAATTTATTTGTTTTGCAATTTTGGTGTTCACAATTGAAAACAATGGAGAGTACGAAATCGGCGTTCGTAGAGTAACACTGGTAGCAACAAATTCGGCATCTCGTTCAAGCATGACAAACGCTAAACGAGACTGTATAACCAGAGCTTTTCACAGACTACTCAGTTGAATGATTTTGCGATTTACTGTGCCAGAAGTGACGTTTTCCGTGAGTGACGGGACGACAAGGGTGTATGCGAAGCGATACAGTAGGGCGGCATAGCTTGAATGGTATCAGACCTTGTTGTTTAAACCACATCTGCGAAGTTAGTTGCACACCAGGCCGATAGCGGCCATTCACTAACACCGTTTCCTCTACAGACGTCCGCCCTTGTACGGGTTCACCACCTGCAAGATCCCACTAGGCAGCGAGTTAAATATTTAATAAGCAGCATTCCAATGTAAATCAGTCTCATTTACAGAATGTGACATTTAGAGTATTTGAATTCTTATGTTGCGCGACCCTTCTGCACGCCGAACACGTTCACAGCTCGCTTTCAGCAGAATATTCTCCTGAATATCTTTAGTTTCACTTCACTTATCGCGTTGGCAAGTCTATGCAGTTATCTTTCGTTTTGTTACAGGTCAGATGCCCGAGCAGCCTGAACCGGAGTTCTTGGCCCCCTTAGAGAACCATACAGTAACACAAGGGCGCGACATCTATTTCACATGCGTTGTTAATCACCTGTCTTCTTACAAGGTAAAAAAGTTGGGGATATGTTGTTTGTTGCTGACTCAAACACATCTTTCTCCCTTTTTACGACGACGCCAAAACGAACAGCCGTATCCGCTAACGGTTAACATATTACATGCGATCGGAAGTGACACTGACGGCGTTCTGGCCATACACTAAATATTTAACTGTCAAATAGTCCCTAGCGGCGCGATAATAAAAAACACAAAGCCACTTTACTTTCGGATAATTTCAATTCGATAACCCCAGACACCTAAAGAAAATGAGTCGAAAAATGATTTCATCAAACATCCCATTTCAGTCACCAGTAGGACATATACGCGTTGATTGCATTGTGTTACTACTCCCGGAGGTAACACAAAGACGTCCAATCAGATGTGCAACTCACACTTATTGAGTTTGCTACGTACTACTTTCAAAACCAACTCTGTTCGTAATAAAATCAGTGAGTATACCTTCTCTGAAGCCTCAAGCATTCAGCGCGTTCGCCAAATACCGTAAATGGAATTATATATAAAAGTCCGCGACGAATTTATCCGATCACACACGTTTAAAGGCAAATATCCGTACCTAAATACAAAAGTTCGTCGACTTCCAGGTAGCATGGATCAAGTCGGATACCAAAGCGATTCTGGCAATTCATACTCATATGGTAGCCCAAAATCCTAGGCTTTCTGTGACACATAATGGACACAATACGTGGATGTTGCACGTTTCAAACGTTCAAAAGAACGATTCCGGGACTTACATGTGTCAAATCAACACGGATCCCATGAGAAGTCAGGTACGCCTCTCGACAATTCCGCCTCTTCGACAACAATTACTCCAAGCAAACCTTTCAGAAATTGAAGTTAATCAACACTGCTTGCAGATGGGAAATTTAGAAGTCGTTATTCCTCCGGATATTCTCAATGACAACGAATCGACACAAGGTTCTGGAGTAGCGGTCGAAGGCGGTACCATAACCCTCCGGTGTTACGCAACCGGAGTACCGGAACCCACTGTCGTGTGGAAACGAGAGGGTGGCGAAAAAATCATATTACGTCACGACGGAATACGCGAAAAACAAGGTAATGTAAATCTAATCGATACTGAATTGAAAATTTTTGTTTATATTCAAGATATGATGTCTCATTGGGAATAGAAGCAGATGCTGTGTCTTAGACCTAATCCAGCTTCTTACCAAATCCCGATTTGCATTATTTCTCCGAACATCTGCAATGAAAAATTCAAGTAACTCACACTATAGGTAGTTCTGACAAGTCTCGCACGATTGCATTTTGCTCCCGATAAATCTCATCTCATTTAAATTTCAAATTGTCCATTATCTTCAAGAGTCTCGGTAAAATAATCCAGGTGTATTGAAATTCATGCGCGTGTCCAGACATCAGCTCCGACCATCTAGCGATTTTCCTTTTCGGTATTATTAATTTTCGAAATGATTGTTCCGTAGAGCGAACGTACGTTTCATCAAACAGAACAAGCATTGCGAGTGGCATTTATATCCGCTAGCGCTTGAGAACCCAACTAAACATTTGTCTTTATTCTTCCAATTGGTTGGATGGTGACCGCGACGATTCGCAGCCTGCAATGGCTCACGCTAGCCTAGCTCGACATTATTTCTTGGCATTTTGAAATATCGCGACGTATGGGGCGTACATTTCATATACGTGTATAAGCCTGGCTTTGACTTTTTCAAATATATTGACTATGTATTTATCTTTAATATAACGAAACTGATTCAGCTTTTCGCGGTCATTTGCAGCAATGACGACTTATCACGGCGAAACTCTGACGTTGACGAATGTACAGCGTACTGATATGGGGCCTTACTTATGCATCGCCAGCAATGGCGTGCCCCCTTCCGTCAGTAAACGAATGATTGTCAAAGTTCACTGTAAGTGACCTCACCGAATCGCCGCATTTTCTAGCATTAACCTCGCATTTTACAGTTCATCCGTTGATTAGAGTATCCAATCAGCTGGTTGCTGCCCCCATCGCACGTGACGTTCTTATACAATGCTACGTCGAAGCATCTCCCAAAGCTATGAACCACTGGATGCGAAACACCGGTAAGCGCATCTCCCTTGAGTCGAGCTTAACCGGCACAAAGTCATATATAGCGTATTACCGGACACAGTCCGATACCTACACTTTTCAAATTATACGCTACAGTCCTCTTCTTTTAGCCACTTCATATATCACACGTTAAACCTAATTCACGACATTTTCTTTCCCATAATTTAAACTCTTTGTTCGTTACAACATTGCCACATTCAATAACTCTTCCAGGAGAGAAACTCATTCCCAGCGAAAAATACATCATAGAAGAAGTACCGATTAACGAATACTCTCTGCTTATGAATTTGACAATACGTAATTTAGAAAAACGCGATTTTGGGGGATACACATGTAGCTCCTCGAACGCGTTAGGCAAAGCCGAGGGTTCCGTGCGGCTTCAAGGTTTACTTTTTTAACTTTTACCGCATTTTTTGTAAACTGACTGAATTCTAGAACGACAAGTAATAATTAAATCGACAAGTACGGCAAGTACGCCTCGTTATATCGAAACGAAACCTCGAAAACCACCCAATAAAGACAAACCGAAGAAATACAAACAACCGAAGAAAAAAGAAAGCGGTGACAGTAAAAGCGAAGAAGATCACGAAATGACCACGCTATTGTTACCTGAATTAAAAACTCAATCACCTTCACAGATATCGGTACCAAGTGCTAGTCGTTCTCCACCTTGGAACCACTTTCATCGGAACACGGCAGTTGGTTTGCCCTTCGAGACATCTTGTTGTTATACTTTTATTGGATTTGTTATGTTTCAACTGTACACTGTATATAGGGAAATTGTTTAATTTTAAATTTTAATTAGGAACATTATTCGGAGGAAACAAAGGGAATACCTAACACGTTATGATATTGATTCGATATTTGAGTTTAAGTACTCCCAAATTAGTAAAGATTTTATCTGGCAAATGTCTTCCTTGTACATTTTAAACTCATTCTGAGTTTCATATCACCATGTCTTCCCATTTGCAATGTTAGGAAAAATTGGTTACATTCACATAATGTGGAAATCCGGAATTTGCATTTAGCTTACGATACTTCAAACAGAATACGAACCATATCCATTAGTAACCCATTTTTGTTTCGTTGCATTATCAACAACACGGAATTTCAATGACAATATCCAACATACTTAATATGAAGGACAATAGCCTTTTTTAATATACACATATATGATAATATAAAGTACTTATGAACTGAGTTTGTATATTTTTTTGAAAATACAACGATGGTTTTAATGTTTAGTAATAATATCCTTCATGTCTTCCGAATGAAAACTATACATATTTGTGATTTATCATTTTTTATACACATTTGGTGGTATATAAAGTCATATTTACATATTGTATACAAAATGTATTAGGTTATTAGGTAATACAATAACCAATATAATTTTTTTCTGTTGTAAAATGTGCATTTTGTTATTTACTTTCGTAGAAAAAATATATTTTATTTACTCTCGGCTGTTATCATTAGTTTAAGGCTTTTGTTAAGAAAAATAAATTACCAAAGAGTAATTTTGTAATTAAATAAAAAGAACAATCATAATATTGTTTGTCTAGAGTAGAACATAAAAAATGAATTGTTATGAGACTTTGTTATTATGTATTTAATTGGTGTAATGTATAAATAAATACATATATACCTTACCTCATGCAAGTAAAACTTGTACATTGATGACAATAATATAATTCAATAAATCATTTATATAATTAAATCTCAACGTTTAGTCATTTTTAAGATTTATTCACCTATAATTGATATTACCCAATCAGATTTACAAACTATGCCGACGTCAATATAGAGCTTAATTAAGCTCAGATTAAATTGAATTAAAATTTATATAGAAGATGGCACCACACAACTGGACTCTAATTTTTTAAACAGAAACCTTTACTTACTTTACTGAAAGAAAATTGCTGCGCCCTCTAGTACTAGGGTGACGAATTGTGCTAGAAGAAAAGCGTTATCTTTTCCTAGCACATATACAGTTTCTACATTTCCATGTTTTAAAACTATAGCTTTCTTTAGATTTGCAATCTTTTAATATATGAAGCGCCATCTGAAGAAATAATTAATTCAAAAACCAAAAAATTAAAAAGTTTTCCTTTAAGGAAAACTGACTTATCAGAAGTGGCTGATATTTGGTAGCTTGTTGCACTTCATTAATGTAACACAATAATGTGAGCGCTTACTAAATAAAGTTTTAAATTGTAGTTCATATTTAATTAAAAATATTTTTAAGTATTTATTCATGAATACTTTTTTTAACTGAATGCTATACTCTAACTTTCATTTCAAAAGATGCGTGAAACAGCTTTAATACTGGAGCTCTTTAAAGTAAATTGTACAAATAGAATTATTAATATGTTCAAATGAATATCACAGAACAAGATAAAAGCATGTGCGTGTCTCACTTCTACATACAAAGTGTTAAAATATTTAGCCTATTTAGAAACTCCAGCTATATCGTAAGCTGTGGGTAAAAAAATTAAATTGAAGGAAAATTTTTTAAAAATCGTATAAAACTATCTACTAATTGCATCTGCACTATGCTTGTTAGTGAGCTACAAATTGGTTGAACGTTTATAGAGTGCAATCACCAAATTACACTGCACTACGATTGATTAGTTGATGAGATTGATTTAAGTAAGTTTGTTTCGGTTTAAGTTTTAATGCCTCAATAACGATTTAATAAAAGTTTCATAATAATAAATAATTATTTGAAATTTCTATACTTGATTCTTAAACTTCTATACCATTCTATACAAAGTACGAGTATAGAGAATGTGGTACTTATGAAATTTCCGATCGTTTGAAACGAAATTTAGAGAATAGCTTTGGGTTTACTTATATAGTTTATGGGAAAATAAAGTAACGAAGAGCCACAGTCATTTCATTGTCGCAAATTTCCGACTTTTAGATAACAAAATACTCAAACATTAGTAAGTAACTTAAAGAAACTGCCTAACAGTGTTAATTTGTTCAAATATGTATTAATATGTAAAAATAAATAATACAATAATTTATATTGAAATACAAAATTAATTATAGGATTATTGTAGTAATAAGTTATTGTAATTGTTGTACCGTAATCTAACTATGAATAATAATTAATAAATTAAACGTAAAATTTGAAGACAGATGTTTTATACTGAGTATTTGAAAAAAGCAAGCATTAGCATTGATGACTGTTATATAACTATTCAAATTAAATTTAAATTGGTTTTTGTGGTGGAAAAATTAAGAAACAATGAAAACTAATCTAGCGTAAATGAATGAGTAGACGGCAAGAACTCGAAAGAAATTGGAAACAAAAGTGTTTTAAAGTGCAATAGCTTTAAAAGTTGTGAAGCCACGAAAAGAGTTTCCTCGAAATAATTAGCATGATGGAAAAACATGTGTATACCAGGTGAACAAAAAGTATGGGATTAAATGTTTTTCGCTTAAACTATTTGTTTTTTAAAAACTAATTTATGAATTTATGAAAATACTATAAAAAAATGTAACGTTTTATCAAGAATAAAATTTTTTGGAATTTTTGTTTTGTTTTTGAGTTCGGCGGATTTTTTATTTTTTTTAATGACAAATCACTATAATTTATTACAAAGGCTATAATCTAATGATTACAACTATTTGCGTTTTATTCAATTTTTATCGATTTGCCATTTTGACAAAAAAAAATGCAAAACTCAAAAACAAAAACAAAATTTTATTCTTAAAATACATTTTAGAGCACTAGAATTTTTATTTAAGTATTATTATTTTCTAAAGGTAAATGAAAAACTCTTGGTTGGTTACCTTTTTTTTGGTTCACGTTGTATATAAATTTTTCAAAGTATTCCTGTAGTATTATACTTTCATTTCGGTGTATTGCAAAGTATCCAGCTATTTTTGAAACACTTGTTTTTGTCCTGTAGAGGGGAATATTAATACATGCTCTGCCTCTTACAGTATCATTTTCCGCGAAAGCTCTACCAAACTTCAAAAAGCTTATGTTAGGAGTAGGTATAAGGCGCTAAAACATTCTGAATTATAAAAACAATTATTCAAAAGCTGAGCTCAGTTTACATTTGAAAAGTTTTCCAAATGCATATTTCTCTTTTTATCACTTACTTACATATCTTATACAACGTAAGCTTTAAATGGTGTATCCCGTGAGATTAATATTGGTGACAATGTTTGTTCGTAATTAGTGAATTGATGTCATTGTTGCACTAAATGAGAGTAGGTTAGCGTAATCCTTTGATGATAACAAATGGAAAATGTTTATTGGAACAATTTCACCTTAGAAATGTTAAACAGGAAAACAATTAGAGTAAGTTCAGGACAGACGTTGAAACAAAGAAAACTATTAATCATCTTCAGGAAAACGAGAGGATTCTTTGACGGTAGGAAGGTCGCAGAAGATAATTGGTAGACAAGCGGCGGAATACGCGTGTCGTGCTTGGATTTCCGATGCATGCTACCCCAGGCTGTAACCCAGATGGGACAATAGCTGTAAAATTGAAACTTAATGAGGTGTGAACAGTTGAAATTGATATTTAAAAGAGCCAAGATAATCTAGACTTGAACAGCAATCTGATTTAAGAAATAGTCTATTCCATAATGAGCACAGTCTCCGGTTTTCGTTATTCAAATCAATGGCTCGCTAAATTATAATGGTGATGTATACCGTTTTGATTTATTATGATTTACGAACGTTTTCACTAATATGCCAATCAATGACATGGTAGGCACCAGAACTAAGCCGTTTAATCCTTGCTTTAATTAACTTACAATTACTTACAACCCCAACGCGCTTTGATCACATATCCATTTTTGCTCGATTTCACAATATTACAAATTTATTAATTTGAAGACATGTTCACAAATAATTAGGCAACCTTCGCACAGCGTATGATTTCGACGAGTCATAATCCGAAATGAATGGAAGATTATATCGTTATCCTGCACTGTCTTGTCGTGCCCGTGTCGGGATTAAGGGTAGCGCAATGGTGCATTTATTCTAAGGGTTCCCAACAAAATTTTAATATCATTAAATTTTCCCCAGCTCCGGACTGCATTTCTTTACTTTATGAATCGCAAATTGCACTTTTAACGAAATCATATTTTCCCCAATATTAAAACCAAACTTTTGTCAATCATTACAAGAACTACAAACACGACTGACGACACTTTATCCTCATCACAATATAACACGAACTGGAAAACCAACCGATCTTCATGGAACGACGTTTCAGACAAGGGCTCCCTTTGTGAAATTTAATTTTCAGTTGAGGGTAAAAAACCCTAAAATGTAATTCTTTACCCATATATAAGACTACCACAGACAGTGAATGTGGTGCCAATCTCTATTCCGCCTCCATTAGACGGGGACAACCAAATCCAAATTTTGCTCCAAAACATAATAAAATCAATCTCACCTGAACATGCTCGAGCTAATGCGATGGAAAAGAAAATCATCAGAAACTTCACCAAACTTTTATAAAGCAATCACAGCTTGCCTTAAACGACACTTTTAAGAAGCTATACACATTACAAAAGTCTGATTTTTTAATTCAACTAAACTGTGATTAGAGACTGATTTTGCATAACTTATTTATTCCGCCTAGTGCGATATCATTCGTAAATAAGCACTGTGTTATAGGCGAAAGCGAAATACAAAAGAATTGGAAAACAATAGAATGTAGAGTGCGATTCAACGAAACCAGTTACTTTTAGAATTCACGACCCGACTTAGAGAATAAAACAATTATTTCAATGTCTTTTGAATAATATTTTTGCCAAAGAAATAATTTTCCCAAACATAAAAATAAATTAGAATTCTGATTAAAAAAATAATGTATGAGCCGTTTTTCTCTTTTTCGTCTTATACTCAGATCAATTTTAAACTGTTACAATTTGTGTAAGAGCTAGCATTAAATAAATTAGTCTTCTTGCTTCATAAATTACACAATAGTGTCCACTCGCTAAAAGTTTGTCTCTGTTGATACTCTAATTTACACACAAAGAAAATATGGTGTCTGGACAACGCTCTCAAACGTGCATCAGCTCCAATTATTGTACTTTGGTAAGATACGAGATGGCTACAGAAACTACAAAAAAATAATGTGCAGTTGTGTTCACCACTTTGTTTTATACCGCTGAAATGAAGTAAAATATGTTTGATAAAATGTAATTTTTACAATAAAAAAGGATATGGGATTAGTATAAATAAGTTGGGATCACAACATTGATCCAATTCTGTTCGTCTGAATTGGGAGGGGGTGGTAAACTGATTGTGCATTCGGATCTATATTACTTTGCCGAAATCCCTTATACAAAGTGATTCATTCCCCAAACAGCCTTTAATTTTTTATGTATGTTTATTGGAGAAAAGTGAGTGAATTTATATTTGATTGTTTTGTAATGTTTAATAGGGGCGAGTTTATTAGCTGATAAAGATGCAATAGAGTTGAAGTACTTGACAGTATTGGATGCAGACACATTGACTGGAAAACTATGTGCAGAATGTAGATAACATTTATTAAATCCAAAAACAAACACTTGAGAAGTTGCTGTACGAGGGGACAGAAGGGCTTCGAGGGTAAGCAAATTTCGAGACCAGGGGCGAGAGACGCTGTTAATAAGTAGACTGGAGTTATGAAGAATGCAGCAACGCGTTCTCTTGCGTTCTTCTGTAGAGGCTTACGTC